TTCTTTATTGTGAACTGCTATGACGTCTTCTATTCGCTTATAAATTTTGAAGTGTTTGTTTGCACACCCAGTGTGCATACATGCAGTCATTCAAATTATCCAAATATAGAAACATTTCAGAAGGATTATTTTCAATACACCTCCGTATACGTCAATATGCGACAGTTTATTATGGTTGGTTTTTAATCTGAATATCTGACGTGGCATGCGGTTTTAAAGCTAATACCTTGACTATGCGGTCATGTATAATGTCTTTTGAATTATACACTTTTACCTTGCAGAATACCGGCGGATTTCCATTCAGTACAAAATGTCGCGCGATCGATTTTTTGCGATCGCTTTCTTTTGAAATGTTTCATTCAAGTTCATCCAATGGGATTGGTTCCGCTTGACTGTTTGTATTTCAAAAGAAAGCGATCGCAAAAAGTCGATCCCTCAAACATTTTGCACTGAATGGAAATCCGCCTTTAAACTGGTTAAGAATACGACGCAATTTTAGCTCCGTTTACACTACCCTCAATTTATTGGCACGGCACGGCTAAAATGGGTATACCCGTCCCCATTTCATCTGTGCTCGGTAGCCTGAACATTGATAAAATTGGGTACGCGTCTGTTTTGGTAGCCTGAACATTAATGAAATTAGGTACGCGTACCCATTTTCGCCATGCCGTGCCAATAAATTGAGTGTGGTGTAAACGGGGCTATATTTTATCACTCTCAACAACATTTTTTTAGCCACTAGAAAAACAACAATTTTCCTGGCTAAAATACTTCATTTCAGCGCAAAATCATGCAAAAGAATAAAGCCGTACATAGTACACACAATCGACCTTTGTAAAGTTAATATGCAAGCATATATCCACTAACGTTATGACTGTGAGAAGCGAATGCCGTGACGTCATGAGATTGGAATTGCCAGGAAACACGGCGAAGTACAGTGCGAAGTGTGATGACATGTGGGTTAAGATTGTAAAACCAGCTGGAGTATGCTAGCTATGAGACCATTTTTTTAACTCTTTATGTGCTAAGATAATCCCTTGGTATTAAAGTGAGTCGTCAACACTGATCTGATAATATTCATAGGATAAATGATACACGGTCGATAACGAAGCCAGAAATAATAAACGTCCGGAGACGTCAAATAAAAAGTTGATTAAAATACATCACGCAAACCCCAAGAAGTGTTTTTCTCATGATTATGGCGTTGATCAGGTTTTGAATCAATCTAAGATTCGTGTGATGACAGTAGCGCCCGTAAGGTTGTATTTTTCTCTGCATGTTCTTCAATTCCGGAAGCTCATTAATTCTGGCTTCGCATATGTATTGATGGATGATATACGCCCTATTTGCAGCGAAATATTGTTATCGGAAGAGGTCAAAATGTGTAGATGTTAAAAGCAGTGAAGATTCTTATTAATGCCCGACGCCTGAATAAACATACCAAATCTATTAATTAAAATAACAAGCATTATCTGTAACCATTGTTCCATAACAGCAAACGAAGATGGCGTGACGAACGAATCTCGTCAATCAGATCAGTGGTCCGGTGGTCGTGCATTTGGGATATTTAGTGTTATCTTAAGTTTTTTTGAACTCAAGTTTGTGTTATTTTGAACTAAATTTAAGACCATATTAGGCGGGTTACCTTTAATTCAAAATAACATAATTGAATTAAAATACACTTTTCACTTTTATTTTTAAAAATAACAACATAATGATCCCTTTGGCTTTGGGAGTTACAAATTCGTTCGTGCGAGCTAGATCGTCCTATTAGAGGAAAGTATTGTCTAACTAGGCCAAATCTCCAAGACAATTATAATTTGAAGCAAATTTTTTTTGCCATCGAAATTAAAGCCTTCAATCCGTATCACGGTGAATGAAATATGAAGACATGAACAAAACATTATCTATAATGGATTTTTAAGAACAGGTCCTTGTCCTACTAATATGGCATGTGAATATATGCTGATGACATTTGTTTAGATAATCAAATACAGGGTTGCCAGATTACTGAATAAACTACCCATATATTACAACAAAGAAATCAGGACTGACTACAACAATGTTTGGGTTCTTTTTCAGTAATCTGGCAACCCTAATCAAATACAGTGGTTACGTTTTTGGGGAAACCCTGTACACCATCGTTATAAATTTCACGCATGCATTAAGTAATTAACAGACGAGATAAAATAATTTAGTTTTCATATCACGTGTATTCGTTAAGGCAGTAATTCTAAATGCAAAAGGTTTTTCGCACATATGAATATTAATGGTGAAAGGCGATGGCAAGCGTTTTTGTCGACTTTCTTACTAAATACATCCTGATCCCGATACAGTATTTTACTGAGATAGCTGTAAGATATATATCTTTATTCTTGCAGTCATTTAGGCATTGTCGACATACCCAAAAATTATAAGCCACCAAATAAGGTTCGGACTTTCTAAGTTGCTTCTAGTACTCAGCATTATAATTGTCAAATCGATTGCTTTTTATCGTCGCGCCACCCACGAAACAGTGGCGTAGCCAGCATCGAAAATTGGTGGGGGGGGGGGTACATTCATATATTCATGCTAGTAGACTGTAAAGACAATTTATTTGAAAAGAGATTAATCCTGGTATCACGAATATGGGCCCCCAATTATCGTGCTGGCCACGCCCTTCAACGAAAATATGAACTTAGGGCCTGTTCATGTATGGGCAAATGTTTCCGACCAACCAAATTATTTTAGTGTGTCAATATGGCGAATATTTATCAAGCATTCCCCCGCATACTGGGCCAAAGTTTTCAGCTGTGAGGTATTCCTGGTTTGCGTAAGTTATGACAAATTATTGAGAATTCAAAAAGTTTTAGACTAGACAGAAAATCACACCTGTAAGCAGGCGAATTTCGTTCATATGAGGAAAATATTCTCCCGCTTGCCCAGATCTCCCCTTTATCAAGCAAAATTTCGATAATATTAATAATTGTTAATAAGTCGATATCTCGCTTAAAATTTGCTGAAAGTTCCCACGCTAAGCGAGAAAACCGTTGCATACTTGAAATGAGTTTGAAGTGAATTTATTAACCTTAACTCTTTTTAGTAACCTGTGTTCTGTGAGGTTAAATTGGAAAGGTTCAAACACGATATAGCTATGTTAAAACAAATGCACTTTATATATAAGCCTCAGAATGGCCATTTAACAGTTGTCAGGGGTCGGTTGTATAAAACTCCTTAACTACATTTTGCAAAATTTAGGCCCAGTTAACTGTGAAATACACGACTCTGATTGCCCAATTCTGTCCTTAACTACAGTTAAAAGTTAACTAGTCTTTCATACAACCGGCCCCAGATGTGTATGATTTATGAAGAGCCGTCAAAAGATTGCAGAATGCGTATTCAGAAGAAAAATTGAAAAGTTATTCAATAGTTTTCTCTTTGATATACAGCGGTACAGAAATGCACAATTGCGAAACAGTGATTAGATTTCCGCGTTGAAACCTCATAAACACCACATAATGATGCATATTCATTCAAGATGGCGTCGGTATATGGTAGTGAATAATATCATGGTAAAATTTATCAATATTGTAGACCTTTCCTTAATTTCCTTCCATTCACATTTGCCTAGACCAAGCCGCGTTGGCCAGTCGAGTGTATCTACACAAGTATGATAAACCAGGATCAAACATGGTTTATGTATCGACCAATTCTCGAATGCTGTTACAAATGTCGTAAACCATACCACCAATGCCTGAAGAAAATCCACCCTTGGTTCTGTTATCGTGAGGCCTTTGCTTGCTCAACAAAATGCATCGCAAAATCGTATTGGCACGATAAAACAATACCGGAAAACACAGCTCAAATTCTACGAAACTATCCAATGGACAGTTTTTATTCGAAAGAATCATCAGAGGTGGTTTCAAGCGGTGATTACCAGTCCTCGCCCGCGATTCGCCCCAAGCTTCCATGCATGGGCCACATGTGTTATGGTGAACTGTGCTTCCGATCTCAGTTGTGCTACGAAGTTGAAAAGCGGTATTTGAAAAATATACCACAGGTGTTGAACTGAGAATCCTGATCCACGTGTGAAAGTATGTTGTAAATTATTCATCTCGACGACTGACTGCGCATGGTGTTATGAAGACAGAAACTATTAGTCGTTAACTTTTAAAGAGCTGGTAACTTAACACCACTGATTATTGTCTTGAGTCTATTAGTGCAGTAGTTTCTTTCAAAAGTTTTTCATGTATTTAGATTGACTGTATTGTGAATACAAAGTTTCAAAGCTGTTTTAAAGCGTTTGAATTGATTAAAAAACTTTGATTAAACCTTGCTATAGTATTCATACATATATAAAAGGGAAATCTCTGTAAAAAATGTTCACGGCTCCAAAGGTTCTAATTTTATTGATTTTCCTGCATTTTTACTATGGTTGAAATTAACTATCACTATCCACTGGATGCGATTCTCCCCAGACCCCAGGTAGGAAAATTTTTCTCGCCGACGCACATCAAAAAGCGTTCGCGTTTACGACCATGGAAACAATCGCTCAAACTTAAAAACAACCGATTAAAACACCGTCAATTGCCCGAGCAAGGCTGGTACGGCGTATTTTGGAATTAAACTGAAGGATTTAGTGTTATATGATAAAAATATACGAAAACCGAACGCCGAGAGTTTAAAGTTAGATCACATACAGCGGTTCAATTGAACACCGAGTTTACATTCATGCATGCATGTAGCGTAACCACCCGACGACTTAATTATCTGTAATACTTTGTGGTGTTTATTCTGCCTCGTCCCCAGTCGCTTGCAATTGCAAAAATAGAGATCAGTGACTGTGAGGAAAGCTGTGGCCGCTCGGGAATTATGAACTTAAAAATAGCATAGTTGAGCTAAATTCTCATGCTGAACTGAAAATGTATATTATTACTCTGTTTTCATTAAGATTCGAAGCTATCACTTATAGAACCCGTTTCCACTTGTATTATTTATTCAGCTTGGTTATTACTCTACGTTATTTTTCAATATAGCAATATACATATTATTACTATAGTAATAGGGAGAACTGATCATATAATTATATAGCTAATACTACACGGCTATTTGCAAGAAATTAATTTTCTTAAAGCAGTTTTATATCCTGCACGAATTGTTTTGTCCCCAATTCCATACACGATCGGATTGAATGAACAAGATACTAGCAGATACATTGGCAACGCCCATATCATGTGAAATTTGTCTTCTTCTCTTCCATGAGCTACGAGTTTACCTAACACAGATATTGGTATTACAGCAATGAAGAACTGCGCTAGAACAATCATACTCACAATAACCATTTTGAAATTGTTCTTCAAACGCAAATGGTAATGTTTGTTGGCTACTGACTTTCCGCTAATGTTAGTAGAGTTTGTCACTTCTGGAGCAAATAGTCGGCGTAGATTTCTCTGATGACGAGCCATTGAGTAACACATCTTCGTATACAGAACAGTAAGAAATATCATGGGTATTAAAGTACAAACAAGACTCAAAACCCAATCAAATATGTAATAGTATATGTTCTTTTTCCATTTGTTTGTACATTCCCGACCTACAGTTTGTTTCGACAAGAACGTTGGGATATTGATAAGAAAAGGTGCAATGTAAATTAATATTATGGTATATTTCAGCTTCTTGACGGTTACATTCGGCTGAAATGGCTGTGCGATAGCCCTGTGGCGAAGAATTGCGATTATAACTAAGAGGCCTAGTTCAGTAGTAAAGATAAAACTGACAATGGGTTGAATGACAGTGCAGGATAACTCCCAAAGAGGACTAGACCAGTAGCGTGTTCCCAACCAAGGTCCTATTGTGAACAAAACATTGCCAAACAACAGCAAAATTATGCTACAGACAGCAAGATGGAATACAAGACGATAATAGTTTGTTTGAAGACGATGCGTCCCACTGCAAACTGTCAATATAACAAGAATGTTACCACACAGACCAAACACTTCAATAATTCCATACACAATTGAAATGATTAGCGAATTGGAAAATGTTGTTGCCACCACTTGAACGTTTTCGTCAGTGTGGTTACCGTCGACATATGGTGTCATCATCTTGCTCGTTCGACTTCACGCACAACTGTAAAGCATGCCGCGTAAATGCAATTATACTTTGGGGCTTTTCTTTAAATGTACTGACAAGTTCAGTAAATTATTTATTGGAGTAGCTGCATTTTAATCAAACCTAAATGTTTGAAATTGTAATTTTAATTTTCCAAAAGCACACATCGGTGTGACCCGGAAATGAAATGACAACTGAGCGTAAACAAGACAAAACAAATATTTTCCAAATATCCTCGAAATTAAAGTGATTATATTTGGAGATATTTTATGCTTAGGAGATTTTGTCTGGGCGGCTTTAAAATGAGTTTGTTTAACTGCAAGGTGATTTTTACAATTGAAAACTGATTTAAAAAAGTAATTACAATAGTGCACAGTATATTTACACTGTAAATTCATTTCTAGATGAGTATTTTTCTCATCCAATGGAAATAATACGATAATTTGTCATTGGATAATTTTGGGGAGGGCTGCTCCAATGCAGCAATATTTAAAAAAACAAGGCTAAAAGTCACTTTTATTGTTGCGTACTGTTGTTAAAACATTTGTTTTTTATCATTCACGGCGGTGTGTAAGTGACTATATCTCCTCAGCTTCGCTGTGTCAACGGACAACGAGTGCATGAGTCAGTGTGTTTCCTTATTCTTTGAAGTGGCTCTTCTGAAACCGTTATGTTGATAGCTCTAGGGTTTAGCTATAGGGTTTCATTAGCAATGGTAGTTTACAACTGTCAACAGTGTAAGTTGCATTTTAAGGGTACTGGCCTTTTTATGGAAGGGGGGGGGGGGGCGTTGGAAGACTAGTTAGACTCAGATAAACATTTGACTTCGCACAATCATGGCGCAATCATGGGTGGTGACGAGTTTCCAGATTCCAATTTAAAGCTTAGAAATCGCAAGAGACGTATTGACTTTGGGATGGGGGTGTTATCCTGACTACAGTGCAAACTACCACTAATTATTCCTAACTTTTGTCCAGGAAGCAAGCTGCTCTTCCTCCTTTGTATCCCCCTCATAGCTTGATTCTTCAGGATAAGGTTTGGAGCCCTGGGGTCAGTTGTATAAAAGACTAGTTAACCTATAACTGTAGTTAAGGACATAAATGGCCAATCAGATTCGTATAATTCTGAGTTAACTATGATTTAACTATGCAAAATGTAGTTAAAGAGTTTATACAACCGGCCCTTGGTTCACTAGGAACGAGCGATGTTCAAATGTCACGCACAATCCACGCATCACGCGTGGATAAGTAAGTGTTTAGCATGGCGAGCAATAGAAATGATAATAGTTCTATTCGTTGTCGTAAAAATATTGAAAATACGCACTCAACACCAGGGGAAGTTGAATCGGTGCCAAAGAGAACATTCAATACAAGTGAAACACGATCAGATCATCGAGAAAATAGAGTTTCATCTGGCACATACTGGCTCACGAGGATTGTCTTTCTCCGCTCGCTGGCCTTTGTTTATTGTGAGTTTGCTTATGGTTTATAGACTTCGTATTCTTCTACCTTGCTTTAAACCCGGGTTACACTATGTATCTTTGGTAATCCAACCGATTTGAAATACTGCTAAAACCCCTTCGTTTCTCTGATCTTATTAAGATTGATCATCAATTCATCATCAATCATCAATGTACAGCGGTTTAATTCCAAAGACAATGACTTGGCTTCACTATAAAGTTGTATATCACAACTGATTTTCACAACTGATTTTCCAGTTGTTGTTTTTTATCTTCTTGTGATGATACATTAATTTGTTTCGATCATAAACAGGAATGTTCAAGCAAACAAGTGTTCAAACTTTGTATTTTATCCTTGCCACTAATTCGAGTAAAGATTTTTTTCAAATGAACAAGTATCCCAATAATAGCAACTGGCAATTATTGAAAGCCTCCTGTAGTAGGCTGCCTAGGCATCTAGAGTCAGCATTTACATTTCACAAAGTGCATGCATGCCTGCAAATAGGGTGAAAATTACAAGACAACATGCGGCAATTAATGATTTCTCTCACACAACTAAAAAAGGATCAAATTTTATTAAACCAGCAGTTGATGATCTTTGCAATCATGTGGTCAATGGTGCTGCAAGACAGGGCTTCCACAATGCAAGGAAATTTCCTTGCAATTGGCAACCACAAGGGAGGGAGGGGTCTGTTTTAATATAATATTTTATGCATTCTTTTCAAAAGTTCTTTGTTTCTCTCTTTGATCATTGCCACCCCCCTAAGAGGACAGTCATATGCAAATAACTTGTGGAAATGCTGCTGCAAGACAGCAGTTCTATTCAAAGTGCAAATTATATTTATAAATGTGTTGAACCTAACCTAGTGCAGGTTGTGAAACCTACAAAAGAGTTAAAATTTTACATGCACACAAGCCTAAACCTTAGTAAACTTTTGTTTACACAGAATTTCCATGTGTGTAGAATATGCCTGCCACACAACATGAATCGTTTTATTTAAATCTTCCTCTTAGTTTTTGCATTCCTTGTGGCCTTAAACCAAAATAAACAATTACTTGGAGATGATGGACTTCTACCAGTACCCAACTTTCTTAACAAAGTCAGAAATTACTTTGGAGGAACATTTGGATTATCAACATTCCAAGCAGTACCATCATTGCTATGGGCTGTAAACCCAGCAAATATTAACCAATATTTGGATATGATTGCATACTGTGGAGCATTATTGTCATTGTTTGTATTCTACACTGGTTGCTGTAATATGGTTATTATGCTTATATTATGGATACTGTATCATTCATTGGTCAATGTTGGACAACTGTGGTAAGGAATTTTCTATTATAACCTTTCAGTGGCAGATTTAGCTGAATCAAAATAAATTACAACAGGTCGACACATTTGGATAAGAACATTTTAAATTGCTTTTTAAATTATAATTCTGAGTTCATAATATAGTTTTGAGTGGAAATTCAAAACCAACAGCTGTGTTATTCTGGTATTTTGAAATCATGTGGGACTGATTAATTTATTTTGACTATAACATTAAATCCTCTACTGATAACATCATGAACTGGATGATTCTGAAAAAGCCAATGTGTTATGAAAAAGATAGTTAATAGTTAGTCTGAGCTAGTATGCTAGCATGTTCAAACCAATAAACATTCCAAAGCTTTTTTGAGAAATTCTACATTTGAACTATGCAGTTAATTGTGTTTAACTTTTAATTCCTGAAGATGACAGTAAACACTCAAAATGATGATTAGACAAATCTTCAATCTCCAAAGTGTGTAAATGCATTGTTAGGGTTCTAATTTGCAAACAATTTCTCTAGTTTTGAAAGCAATGGTGAAAATCCTTCCTTTACATGGTGAAAACCATGAAAACCCTTCCTTAAATGCAACTTGCATACATCGATCAAATCACAATAGTGAATTATATATTATGCATAATTAATACACTTCTGTAGCCTAATTGCAACATTATAGTTGTACTTGAAATGTATTTTTGTGTAGACTTTATGGTCATCAATTTCATTCACATTTTCCCTTTTTTATTCTTTTATCTAGGTATTCTTTTGGTATGATAAAGATTTTGTTCTTTTGATTCATGTAAATATAGTCAAGTTTTTTTCATTTGATTTCAAATATGTTGTGCATTTCAAATATGTTGCAACTCTCTATGTAAAAATGATAGTTTTACTTTCAGTTTAAGCAAATTTATCAAAGCAGCGACAAAATTTTTCTGAAATTTCATTCAACATGACCACTTTAGCTCAATATGCAAAGCATTGCCAAGCGCTCTACGGACTAGCAGCAACAAAGATTGCTTTTTATTCCACGTCGTCATTCATTAGCAATTTGCTCGATTTCCGAAAGGCTTAATTGTACCAAGGATATCAAGTACCGGTTTTAATTAATACATATGCTCTTGAACACAACTACAGACAGACATGAACTATATTTTTTTGTATTTGGCAAGATTAAGTTAATGAAAGTTTGGTACCTGGTTGCCTTTCGTCAGCCATTACAAAGAGCCCTCGAGCTTATAAGCGTCTTGACTTTGTGACCTGCTCACCTGCTACACGTCGCCAATGCTTCTAAATTGCTAGGAACAAATTACATGAAAGCCAAAACTTGATTTCCCCGACATAAAAAGAGCTTTAGGGTAAAATATTTTCAGGATTGCAATGGATTCACATGTTGAAAATATGTTGATTTTTCGTGAGAGCAACAGACAATTCAGCACACTGCGCGTAACATCTGCCCATGCGCAAAAACGAGAAGGGCAAAGATTTAAATTTTTACCTGGAAATTAAACAGGAAAACTATTACTAAAATTATTTTAGAACTTTACATATCTCTCGAATATTGGAGAACATAGCCATAATAGATGTAGAGTTTTCGTCTGCATGAGGATCCAAACGTCATAGTTCAGAATTAGATTACATGCATAATATCTTATTATACCTCGGTAACAAAAATTGGTTAAAAAAACTTCAAATGATAATGATCCTCTCACAATCTAAACACATTAGAAAATAAAAGTTTAATTATATCGTCCGGATAACTTTAGGAAAATCTTTCTACTACTTTGACACCTAACATGCTAATACTGTAAAAAAAATTATATGAGCATATTTGCGATTTAAGTTATTTAATATTTTGTTGGTGGGACGGACAAACCAACACCCCCCCTCCCAACTAAGATTTCTCAGGGGCTAGACCTTGAATGCCCCATACTCATACACCCCATACTCTTAGACTGGATTTGCACCAACAGAGAAATAGTTCGCTAGCGAAATATTTGCATATTTTCTTTTGAATTTTAACTGACGGTGTAAATAATTCACTTCAACTTGAGTGTTATCAATTCAAAACCTTCAAACCTGTCTTGTTGATTTTTCCTTGTGATATTCACATGCACTGTCATCAATCCTTATGTTTACTCGCGTATATTCAGATCCCTAGATAATTTTCCTCCCAAGACTACAATATGTATCAATAAATAGGTAATTGTAACTCATTGTTAAAAATTGTTCATGTATGTTACAGGTTGGGAGTCGCAATTATTAGAGACAGGATTTCTGGCCATATTCTTATGTCCTATTTTAAAACTCCGTCAAATCCCTGAACAGACGCCGACATCGTGGGTAGTTATCTTTGGCTACAGATGGCTTATATTTAGGATCATGTTTGGTGCTGTGAGTATTACGTGTGTTTTTTTTTTCTGTTCCAAACGTTCAACACTTTCATGTGTGCAATAGACGGATCAACTGAAATTAAATTTCTATTGTGCCAGTTATGTATGTACTTCAGTGATAAAACTTTATTCAAAATTTCAAAAAATTTGATTTGTTTGCGAATTTCCCCGGCCCCATGCACTTTCCTTCCAACCAATGTTGAATATCCCGTCGTATTGGCTCTACAGATCAAACCCAACATTGTCAAGGGAGAGGTGATTATACATGTGCATGTACACGTACGTGCAAAAAAAGACGACAGTGGACACTAGCCCTAATACGAAATACGTTTGACAAGCATTTTCTAATCGGCGTACGGGACAGGGGGGCACTTGCCCGTGCCCCCCAAAAATTTCGAGAATCCAGAGATTCGGGCAAAGTTGTGCCGAAAATTCGGGCAAACTGAAAAAGAGTTACACAGCTTAAAATTTTGAAACTAAAATTTGTAAAATATATCACATTTGTGTATTCTATTTGCCCATTTTTGGGGATACACGGCATGGTCATTGATGGATAATTTCGAGTGGGACGATGGATATAGGTTAAGATTTGGACCGTACCGAGTGAACACGGACGCCAAAACTCTCTGCTTATTATTAAAAGAAAATCATTTTCCCACACTTTCTTCTAAGCACATCTGGCGCTTTCCCAAGTTTATTGTTACAAATCTGGTAAAAGTTAAAATTCGGGCAGATTGTATAATTAAAAAATTCGGGCAATTTTTTTGCCCCCCAAACAAAGTCCATGCATCTCCCGAATTTCTTAATGACTAAAAAATAAGGCTCCATACAGTCTTCTTTCCTCATTATTCATCACAGCAATCAATAACAGCAATTAACGTTTTTTTAGGGAATGATAAAAATCCGTGGCGATCAGTGTTGGCGAGATTTGACTTGTATGAATTACCATTATCAGGTAAATAATTGTAGTTGATTTACGTTTTAACATGACTTTTGTATGTCATTTATGATAATATGAATAGCGAGATTCGAGAAAATTATCGTTGAGAGTTTAGAAACTTTAGATGTAAGTGCAATTCCTAAAAATAGCTAGATGTATTGCTTTTTTCATCGCTTAAGGGCCTGTTTACATGAAGCGAGTTACCCACGGCTAGGCGAGGTAAAAAGCGCATCACATCAAAGGCTTAACCTGATTAGTCTTTCATTATTTGCAGTTTTCACCTCGCCTAGCTGAGATAACTGCTCATATTTCATGGGCGATTTATCACTGCACGTGTCATAAAAAAAATTAAGAAATATTTGACCGTTTTTTATGCATTGGTTGAATTGTTTACAAACTTGATTGATCTTATTGTTGTTAGAAAAAACAATTCTAATCGGAACAGTATTCCATATAAAGACAGAATTTCACGAGCTTTGCTCTGACATCAGCACGTATAGACAGAAAGGTCGTCTGAAAGTTACTTAATCTCATCTCCTACTTTGCGTCGTCTGAAACTCTAGGTCAAGGAGGAGTATGAAAGACGACTTGATAAGGGAAAAATACAATATTTCGCAGACGCTGTATTGGGGCTAAAACGAGGGGAGGGGGAAGGGGGAGTTACTGTGCAAACTATACTACGTCAAACAACACTGAGGGAAGTGTTGTTATATCACCTTCTCTCATATTCCTCCTCAAGTTTTTCAACACCATGCAGTAGTACCCTTTCCTTCTTTTACCTCTATTTCTCTACGTTCCCCAAGGGTGGATTTCCACTTGCAGATAAAAAGTTCGCTAGCGAAATATTTGCATATTTTCAATTGAATTTTGACAGAATAAATGAATGAGTTTAGCTTGACTAGTTTAATTTCAAAAGAAAATAGGCAAATTTCGCTGGCGAACCATTTCTCTGCAAGTGGAAATCCAGCCTAATAATACTAACGTTCGTTTCTTCCGACAAATAGACTCAACCAGTTCCTAATCCGCTCAGTTATTATTTCCATCAATCGCCTGAAGTTTTTCACAAATTTGAAACCCTCAGCAATCATTTCATTGAGCTCGTTGTTCCTTGGTTCCTGTTGCTTCCTGGTCGACTTACAGTCGTCTGTGGCTTTCTTCAAATTATTTTCCAGGTAATTCGCGTTCAACTCCTTGAGGGATTATATAGGATATAACAACTTCTAGTCACCAATCTTGTTTGACGCATTAAAAAAACAGATTTATATGTAAATAATTCCAATGATGTGAGGTTATGTAAACATTTCCTGGATATTTCCTTTGGTAATCTTCTTATAACGGATATTCAACGGAAATTTCAATCTATTTCTGATTCTCAAAACCATCTTTCAACGCAACACGTTAGCGAATAGAGTTTAGACTTTGTTATAATCTGCTAAGAGGGAAAATAAGATATGCTAGCCTGTAATGACATAGCATTTTATAAGACGTGCCACGGTGCATGAACGGAGACTGCGCAAGATAAAATGCCTTGCCTTTGATGTATTTTGAAATGAATATGCCATTGGTACCAAAGATTAAAACAGCAGACCAAAAGTCGTGTGTTTGTGCTCCACCTGACCTATAGAATCTAGTGTATATGAATAAATAATGCTTAGTTCAGATGTTATTTAAAGTCAAAGCCTCAAACGCTAAGTAAATATAATTGCAATATAGCTACTGTTACACTATCTTTACATATCCGTTCATAATTTTACATTAAGTAGTGAAAACAGCCGTTTTAGGGTGGGAATTTGTAATATGACTATGAATTTAAAAACGATTGCATTTGCACACTTTTCTATTATTATAAAGCTGTCATAAAACAATTATATATACCATGTATTCGCTCTCCTCAAATATACGGCAGGCTATATATAATACGCATGTAACTGAATCGAGTTCGTCTGTTTCCCTAGATATACCGAACCGGAAAAATATCGGGAAAATACAACCACTAGTGTTTGTAACTGATTTGCATATCTATTCAAATCTTATTTATTACAAAATCATTTCACAAGTATAAATAAATGTACAAATGTATATTTAATACAACACGACCACTGGTGTTGTAAGCAATACAAATAACACAGGGTGTTCTTAGTAGGCAAATGTTAATACATAGCGTTGTGCAAGCATTGGTCACTTTTCAATTAGTTTCTTTACAATTATTGAACTGTAGCTGTTACAGTAGCTGTTTATTTTGGTCAGAAATCCAGGAAATGATTACAATGGCAATGCGCAGAAGCCGTAGATTGATTGATTCTCTTATTTTGTTGTAGGTCGTACTCATATTCAGCGGTAATCTTAGTTTCCTCAACTGGCTGACAATCCTTCCCAGTATAATGTGCTTTGATGACAAAGCACTCGCCTGGTGTTTCCCAGTCTCATCGCATGCACGAAGACAAGTGTGCAAACTACAGAAATTACATCTTGATGGAAATTCACGGAGGCCTTCAAAAGGTACGAAATTAAGGCATCTGTGCGAAAAGGATCTTCTAACAAGCCAAGCATCTCTAAAATAACTGGTATATTACAATAAAAAACGTAGATATTCAAGAAACGCGTTTAGAGCGTTTAGAGCCATTTAATTCGTAAAGCGAGTTTTTAAGGGGTTCAAATGTTACCGAGTTATAACTGATGACGTATCTGGCAAATTTTCGAGCCAGAAAAAGAAAGCTGTTATAGGACAGTGCATCATAAATTTAGTGGGGTTTTTTCGCACAATAGGGATTATAATAGGGATATTATAATAGGGATTACTATAATAGGGAGGGTTTCAATTTAAAGAGTGGCTTTGCGCCTATTCGTTAACACCGGTAGGAATGCAGCCATCGCATTAAAAATAATCATTTGGCAGAAAACCGAAATTTTGAATGGAGTTAGAAAGAACTTTTCGAATATTCCTAATAAAATGAGCGTAGAAGCGCTACACCCCCGAGTACTGCAGTGGTTCATCAGTAACCCTTTCTGTCCGCACTCACCTCCTTCGCACTACTCTGGTGTCCCTGACCATATGCGAGATATGATCATTGTGCTGACGTTATAAACACGTTTCTAAATCTACTTTGTAGGTCTCCGAATACGTTGGATTATGGACGTATTTCTTGGTCTACTTTTGGCGTATCTCAGTATACCAGTTGTGCAGAATCTATTCTCATCAAGACAAATAATGAACACATCTTTTGATTCTCTTCGTATTGTTAACACTTATGGTGCTTTTGGAAGGTAAGCATCGCATGAAGAGAAAATGATGTGAAACTTGGCTGTCACTTGAATTCTGAAAACCAACTTTTCGTCGTCTAAAAACCAAATTCTTCTCATATACATAGCCATCGGCGAGTTTTCATCCGTGTGTTCTACGCAGAATATTGAAAGTGGAATCATGCATTCTATCACTTCTTAAAACTAGAGCTTAAGCCTTATTTTTGTGTCACAAAAGGAATTTTTAAATTGCACGAGTTTAGATTGGGGCCTCGTTCTCATGAAACGTGAGCCAATAGCCTTGTATTTTTAACATTGAAAACGAGGCGCTTACGTCAAATACGTATACTTGAAGTTCATATTTTTATGAGGTCTATTCGAGTGATCCTGTGTGGAGTGACCTACTGTTGAATCATTGGTTGTGTATATGTAGTTTGCAACGCCGACCGTCGTGATGGAATCGCTTTTGTTGCATTATGAAATACATTACTGTACTTTTTATCACCCCAATAAGGATGATAATCATACTTAGCGGTTACAAAATAACTAAGAGGAAATTAATTAAAACTAATCTTTATAGAAAATTTTAAACCCAACCAAGATGACGCCCAATGATGACGTCATATGTCAAAGAAGAATATCGATTAAGATCATGAAAATCATCGATATAGGAAATGTCTCATCATGCACTTTGTTTATTATTCATTTCCTAGTATTACTAAAGAAAGGACGGAAATCATCATTCAAGGAACGAGAAATAAGACAAGTTATGGCGATAATGTTATATGGGAGGAATATGAGTTCAAATGTAAACCTGGAAATGTGAGAAAACGTCCTTGTGTAATATCACCGTATCATTATCGTCTTGACTGGTTGATGTGGTTTGCTGCGTTTCAGGTAAAATACGTCCAGAGCTATTGCAATTGTGACGATTTAATTATTATAACAAGCAACCGTTCGTTTTTCAATTCCCGAAGAAAGATGACTTCCTTAGATTTTCACTTCACAAAGAAAATCTTGAACATTTTTGTTTCTTCACTTATTGTGAACGCCCTACTTACTGAACCAAGAGCATACAGAGCACATATGATGATTATTTCGATGAAAGGACATTTTATTTTTTTAGAATTACCAAAACAATCCATGGCTTATTCACCTTTCCGCCAAGCTTCTTGTAAATGATCCTGATGCTACTTCACTAATTTCACACAACCCATTTAAAAATGGTCCACCACCAAGGTATTTTTCTTCACGTTTATGTGTTATTGAAATATAGTGCGTTGTATGAAATATATATATATATATACACCCGTTTGCAAAAACGTTGGCCGCAGATAGATATATAGATAGATACCCGATATATAGATAGATACCCATATGTGTGTAATATGATTGAAATCCCATGCAAATGTATTCATATGCAATTCTAATTAGACTTCGAGTATCTATCTATCTATCTATCTGCGGCCAATGGGTATATATATATTTTTTTTTTCTATTTCCCCTTAAAGATATATCCGTGCTGAACATTATCTTTATGAGTTCACAAAGTTTGGCAGTCCAGAAGCCCGTGACGGCAAATGGTGGTCAAGACGAAAGATTGCAACATACTTTCATCCGTTTTCCATGAAAGACGTAAAGGACTATTTACGAAACCAGGGTTGGAAAATCCCACGAATCTAACCTCTAATTTATTTGCTCTTGATGAAGTTAGTATTACCAGCTAGAGAAGACATCTCCCCAAAACCATGGAACTGTTCGCACTATATTCATTTTCTTGAAAGATAAAAAATGTTACTAGTTACAACATAATGGACCTTTTACATAATAGAGCAATTTATGATTTAGGTAACAAGAAGCAAATAAATCACCACAGCTAAAAAGAGCATGCAAAATGTCACGTAGTACGGAAAATAACATAGCCATGCGAAGTTAGCAATTTTGTATACTTAACGCTTAATTTTACTAATTTTAGTATGCTCTTTTCGTAAATTCCCTTTTCGTCCCCTAAAGCAAAAGGTGGTCTATTATGCAAAAGTCAGTTAAAAATAAAACAATGTTTCATTTAAAAACAAGAATTCTGTTTTGTATCGATACTGATAGTAGAAGTAAATGTAATCTTTCAAGGTTTGATGCCTGTCATCTTTGATGATATTTCGCCCACCAACTAAGCGGAGAAGCGGCTAGTTGAGCTCGCTTGAATTTACATGCATTGCAAATTTCCGCTACCAAATCAAACGGTAACCAGGCTCTAACGCCTGCAGTCCTCATAAACCACGTTGCAATTATCGGCGCGGGGCATTGCCGGTGACCACTGACTAACATGGATTTATCTGAATATATTGTATTCTGAATTTTCCTCTTTATTCGCCCCGACAATTCGTCGTAAGCGATAAAAAAGAACCAAGGCATCTTTCTTTTAAGCGCCAAAAATGGTCAAATTCATATTTTGAATTAATTCAGAAAAATTAAATATTTCGTTAGGAATATACGATGAAACTGCACCTTCCGTGCTGGCAAATGTAAATAACAAAGTACTTAAATTTAGAGATTTTGAAGCACTAAAAAATAACAGTAATTTGTTTCTACTGAAATTCGTTAGGACAGGTCTGGCCGCGTTTTTACCGCATGAAGGAAAGCGCCCTATTCCTATAGGCTGAAATGAATCCCCGCTGCTAACATGTGGAAATGGAAACAATGGCCGGCTTTGCAACAGAGGAGCGATGGAGCAAATTGAGGCTCCGGTAAAGTAAACATCCTTTGTTTCCCCCGGTTATGACTAAAGGCTAACTTCCACTCCGGGAAACGAGCAGCGGATCGGATTTTTTTCCGAGCTGGCCCGATCCATGAAGTGATTTCGGATCGGATAAAAAAGAGTTTACACTATTTGAACTTTTTTTATTCGGTCTCGGACGCTTTCGTTTTCCGGAGTGGAAATTAGCCTTAACAACGCACCATTATACATCTAGAACTTAAACGGTACCCTTGGGTTCATTTCTACATACGAATTTCTTGTGAATACGCCTGTTTACTGAAACCAAATTTCATACGAATTTCTTGAGAATATACGCCTGTACTCAGTGCACTGGAACCAAAAATGTCAACAAATGCGCTTTTTAGGTGAAAATGAATTTCTCCGTTGCTGTCCAAAAAGAATTCCTAAATGGTTTACATTTTTCATCAAGTTCTCCGTGAACGTGACTCTATTGATGGTTGTTGTCTTCTCGAGTCTGTCCGAGATGTCATTCGCCGAAACAAATTCTTGAATGCTTCTCTGTATGTTTGGTCAAGGCAGGCGTAAATAATTGGGTTGCACATGCTGTTGAATAATGGTAGTGTGGCTGCGGCGAATTCAATTATGTTGACCCGATACCTGCTGTAGCCAAGTGAATTGGTATTCATATCTTCAACTACTTTTGGGTAGTAAAACCTCAGAAAACTCCAACAAAACCAAGGACCCCAAGAAAATATGAAAACTCCAACGACGACCAACAGCATTCTAATCACTTTCATATCTCGACGTAATGCACGTCGTTGACTTTGGACAATGAATGTTTGACCCAGACTCCCGTTCAAAATCATTTTTTGTCGTTTATGGGCAACGAGAAAAATAAGGAAGTACATGACAAGTATGACAGTCACGGGTAGAAAAAATGTGCTTATCATAATAAAGGCGTAAAATGGTTTCACTTTATTTTCGTCCGTGTGAATAGGACAACGTCCGCCGCCAGTTTTCAAAATTCCCAAACTCCCTGAATTCGGGGTAGCCGAGTATATGGCGAGAGATGTTGAAATAAAAAGAATAATGATTATTATTTTTCGTGTTCTGGAAGTTGTCATTCGTGATTTGTACTGAAGAGGTTTGCTGATTTTCAGATATCGGTCGAAACTGATCATGGTCAGTATGTAAATGGATGTTGCTAACGCGAAAGTGTCTAACCAAATCATAAAACGGCACAGATAATCCACTGACATTGTACGTTGCGAATTATCCATATCAAGCTTATACAGCTTAAGTGGTACTAAAAGTGAACCAACCAGAAGATCAGCGACAGCCAGGCAGGCAATAAAATATTTATTTGGTTGATGCAGACTTCTTTCTCTGTAGGTCGCGACCAAAACAAAAGTATTTCCAAGAATTGTGATGATAGTTATGAAGGTAAGTGGAATTTTTGCGTACGAAAGAAGCCTACCCATAGTTGTTGTCAATTTTGCCAACTCACTGTCCGTAATCCAAGGCGTCCCTGTTTCATTTACAATTTGAGTAGCGTTGGTATGGTTTACCTGTAACGTCATGGCGAAACTTGAATCTAAAAAATCGAATGCAATGTCATTTTGTGGAAACAGCGGCGTAACTAGCACGATAATTATTGGGGGGTCCATATTTATATAATCATGTTATGCATGATTAATTTCCTTTTAAATTGATTGTCTTTACAGACTTACAATGTTTTAACATGAATATATATACAGGGTGTCCCAAAAAAAACGCAACCACTTAAATATGCAAGAATATTAATATTGTTTGGGTTTGCACCATAGTTCAGCTAAAATGACTTTTAGCATTGTAAATGAAGGATTAAGAGCCATTTTCAATTCCCAGAGGTGCTTATCTATTGCGCTTTAGAGCTGTATTAATGTTCTGCATATTTAAGTGGTTGCTTTTTTTTTGGGACACCCTGTATATATATATATATATATATATATATATAATAATATATATATATATATACACCCATTTGCAAAAACGTTGGCCGCAGATAGATAGATAGATAGATACTCGAAGTCTAATTAGAATTGCATATGATTACATTTGCATGGGATTTCAATCATATTACACAACATATGCAATTCTAATTAGACTTCGAGTATCTATCTATCTATCTATCTGCGGCCAACGTTTTTGCAAATGGGTGTATATATATATATATATATATATATATATATATATATATATATATATATATATATATATATATATATATATATATATATATATATAAATTATAATATATATATATATATATATATATAAATATATATATATATATATATATATATATATATATTTATATGGGTCGTTACTTGGAAAAGTAAGTCATTAATCATTATAAATTGATAAGATAGTGTGCGGTACCCGCATTGACAGGGCTGCCTGATACAAGTTAAAAACGTGGGGATTATTTATTATCTAGATCATGATCTGTTACACTAAGGAGCTGTTTACATGAGCCCGGTTACCCGAGATTCAACGAAGCGTGAGATGATTTTGAGGTATTGAAATGAGCAGATGACATGATCTTGGCAGTCGTAAAATCACCACAACAATAGCGTTTGGTGTAATAAAGACTTATTTCAATACCTCAAAGTTCTCTCACGCTTCGTTGAATCTCGGGTAACCGGGCTCATGTAAACAGCCTCTAAGACTCCAGTGAATTTTAGCTCAGCCGGGTAATATGCATTCTCATTAACACGTATCACAATTTAATTCTGTCGATCGACTTGCTCTTTAAACATTAATAGCGACGATAAAATTGCAAACATTTCAAACGAAAATGTTTTGACAGGTGCATGACTGTATTTCACAGCATTTTTTAGTTAGCTATGTAACTGCAAGGGCGTTTATCTCAGTAGGTCCTGTACTTGCCCCAGAGGCAGAGATCAGTTGTATCCTCGATTCTCTTGAAGAATATATGGACCCTTTTATCACTAGCTGTATTCTTCATGAAGAATTGCGTTTGTGGGAACAAATTAGCCTCATCCGCAGGCATTTCCTCCGTATTTATATTAGATATCTTTTTTCATGCCGCCTAATATAACTAATATAAATACATAAGAGATGCTTGCGGAGGAGTAACAAATCAAATTTGATTCTTGAAACAGCCGGCTGTATGTAACCAGTAACTTGCTCGCATGCTAAATTTTAGGCAAGGCTGACTTCAACCCATGCAGTTGTCAAAATTTAATATTAACAGACTGTAAAGACAATCGATTTCAAAAGAAATTGATCGTGGAGAACATTAATATATGAACATATAGGCGCTAACGTTATTGATTTTGATTCAGTTGCATCCTTTTATACTATAGGTAATTAAGGGACTGTTTACATGAGTCCGGTTACCCGAGTCAACAAAAAAGGATGCCGGAGATGACTTTGAGGTATTGAAATAAGTCTTTATTTCACCAAACGTGCACATGCCTACCGTCAGGGTAAATATACGCGACTGACAGAATCATGTATATGCTCATGATAATTTCAGTAGCTCAAAGTCACTTTACGCTTCGTTGAATCTCGGCTAAGCGGGACATGTAATCATATGCGTGTCTGAAAGCCTGTTCGAATTTGATTACAATATTTTTTGGCAAAGGCGCAATTGAAAAGGCATTTAAATTAACAATATGATTGATTTCTAAAGGTCTCTTTATTGATACACTATATGCAGATGACACATACTTGTAGTAATAAACTATTGTTGAATTATATAAATACGATTATTTGGTACATCGTAGCAACATGTACGACATCTTGAAAACCAATGTTGTAAATATTTTGGCTAGTTGCCGTATCAAAAAATCTAATTAAAGATTAAAAATAGAGCAGCTGTAAGATCTATTGGAGGAGATATTTTTTCTTCAAATTTTAGTTGAAATTGAACAGGGAATTTAGAAACCTTCAAGTGAGCCTACAGTGTAACAAAACTGTAATTTTTCTTCATCATTTTGACACGAAAGAGAAACTCTGCACGCAAAAAACCTTTTAATATTGCCATTGGCTTGATTAATTTTACCGATATTTACCTTCAGTAACACACTCTCTATCTCTCTCTTCCGTTTGACCAGCCTCTTGAACTTTAATACAGGTTGCGTTCCAAATTCAAGTCCTTTTGACTCCAACTGTTCAAATGAAATTTCTCAAAATGATATAATTATGTATTTTATGAGCATCATGTAGTCATGCAGTGTAATTAGAACTGAAGTTATAATTTGAGTTTGCTTCAACATTGGCAGTATTGCCAAGTATTGCAATTATACCGCGACCAATCAGATCCCAGATATACGTCAATCAATCAACTTGATCATGTTGGCGAGTATTTCCAATGAGTGTCGCTATTATTGCAACACCGATTAGATCTTAAATGGATATCCGCCAATTAATTAACTTGTTTACATTAGTTAATATTATGTAATCAAAGTAAAGTATTGCTATTACTCCGTTCATCAGGCATTGCGAATCAATTAATGCTTTTGTTAACCACAAAACAAAATTATTATAACTAGCCCTCACTAGCCAGCCCTAACTAGCAATTTTTTAAGATTTAACTTCGTGGGCTATCTTAAAAAGGGGGAACGGAGAATCGGGAAATGGGGAATCGGGAAATGTGGGAATCATGGAATCGGGGAACAGGGGAATCGAGGAATGGGGGCGATTCCTATGGAGGAACTCGGGAGCGGGAGAACTGGGGAGCAGAGGAATGGAGGAACTGGGGAGTGGTAGGAATGGGGAACACAGGAATGGAGGAACAGCGGAGTGGGAGAACTGGGTAGCGGCGGAATGGAGAGCAGGGGGATGGAGCAACTGGGGAGCAGGAGAACCAAGAGCAGGAGGAGGCACCAGGCAACCGGCAGAACATAGAAACGAGGGATGGGGAGTGGGGAGAAATGGGAATTCCGCTGTGGCTCTGTTCCCCAGTTCTCCTAGCTGTTACCCAGCTCCTCCATTTCCCTGTTCTCCTACTCCCCAGTTCCTCCAAAGTAACATCGTTTACCTTATATATACAGTATGCGATATAAATAATTGATTTTTCCCAAGAAGCAAACGCCTTGCCATTGCGTGGTAATAAGCTTTGCAGGCGGAAGGGAAGGAGTCGGGCAGGTGCGGGTTATCAGCTTGTTGCGCAAACTTTCCTGTTAAACTTCAAATGTGCTTTAGTTACCGTGAATGAAAGCTATTTCTATTAGTCTTTCTCATTAAATCCAATTTACAGAGATCATATTCTGTTTTTATTCAGTCACGGACATGCGCAACAAGCTCTCCTAGCACATTTATTTATGCCTATTCTTTCTTGATTTATCGCCCAGGAGCCGGTTGTATCGAGCCCGTTTAGCTTAAACGGTGGTTAAGTTCAAAATAGAAAGCCAGTCTATCGTTTTATTCAACAAGCAAACTTATTTTTTTTAACCTTAATACAAAGATACTGGTTACAACTACATATTCAGTCCATAATATACAAGTTGACTCATTTAAGAGAGATGTAAGAGTGTTATTTAATTTTGACTTATCCACCGTTTCAGCTAAACGGGCTTGATACAACCGGCCCCAGGTTTGATTTTAGGAATAATTGCAGTGATATCTGATCCTATTTCTTTAATCTTTAGTCTTGTGTGATAGTTCAGCGATAAATAAAGACTATCGTACAGCCTTAAGGCGCATATAACCGATCATGCTTTCTGCCCTCCCATGTGCATTTTGAGAGTTTAAATTGGCCTACGGTGAGGTTAAACAAAGAAATTTCAAAGAGAAAAAACGCGTACTGGCGAGAGAAGCGATTTCGGTTTGTTAGTCCGAATATCTTGCAAGATTTTTTCACAAATGCCGTTGTTGGTGTCATGACTAATTTATGAATTCGGTAATGCAAGGTCAAGTAGCTATATATTGTTAACTTTTATTTGCCTAATTTATGTACTTTTGTAAATACCCATAGCCCTAACTTAGTTCAGTTAAAACAATGTTTTGTTCAACTACGAACACGCAATGATTTCATCTCGCTCGTGTCTATAACTTTCCCTATAAAACTTGGCTCGTGCAGTGACATATAGGACCAAAGTGAAATACAGCTGGGATATTTATATACGAGATCGCTCCCAGATATATTGCAGAGGAAGTAAACAAGGTAATTCTATACTGTAAACTTGAATAACCTTCATATCTGCCTGTTTCTCATGTGATGAAGTTTCCGGAAGAACGTAGATAAAAACATCCTTACGAATCATATGATTGAATGAGTTTGAGCTTATTCACCAGTGTTTTGTCAAAATTTAGCCTTAATTTTTGGCTTCAGTAAAAAAAACTCGGTATGTCTTCAATTGTGACAAGTATTCTCAGTTCAACACTAGGTTTATTATGGAATAAGGTTCGAGACTCGACGACAGACAAATTCAAAGACGGCGATGTAACCGATGCCGAAATTCGTAAGATTGTCGTACGCGAGTTAAATGATATCAAGTCTAAAATCGACGGCTTTTCTAGATCAACTTTACTCGCCAGTTACGATTTTCTAGAAGAAGGAGTTGAGTTACTCAGTGTTTCTCTTGATAAATCAAATTCCGAGCAGAAAGCGAACGAAACTCAGGATGAACCGGGTGAATCTTCGAGCGTTATTCAGTCTGGTATCTTAAGCCAAGCAATAGAGCTTCCTCGCGCCATGGAAAAGCTTAAAATCAACTCGGACAGAGAGTTTGAAACTGCGAGGGAAAGATTCAAGAAAGCGCGCGAGACAGCAACCACTGCTTTCAGAAATGAGGCATTTAGTATCGAAGATCGAATTTTTGCCGCGAAGCTACGAGTAGTTTCGGAAATACTGGAACATCTCGATAGTCCTGAGACCGCAATCACTGGGTGTTTGTCGTTTTTAAAGAAGCTGTATAGCTTACCAGCCATTCAAGAAATATTCTCGGTGTATTTGAACGGTGGAGTCAAATCGTTGTTGAATAAAACCCAACGAGTGGAGAACGTCAAGTCGGTTATGTTAATCAACTATGTGTTGTTTCAATATGTTTTGAAATTCAGCAGCAAGTGTCCATATGAAGTGTCCGCCTGCATGCCAACGATTGAACTTCCTGATCGTAGTTTTCACGCAATAATAAATTGGAACAAAATTTCAACAAGAAAATCTATGGCAGAGGAATTGCCTCATCCTCCAAACGAACAGTTTCTTTATGAAAAAATAATACCCGACTTATCTGTTGTGAACAGTCAGGGGGATGTTCTTACTGTCCCTGATACTGGGTCTCCTGACCACATCATGATTATCCATGAGACAGGAAAAATCAAACGGGTTGAATTACCTGAATTTGCAGATAGTTTCTTACTGGCGCTTGCTGTTGATATCAATAACAATGTTTACGTGGTGAGAGACAATTCAAGTGAAGTATTTATGTTGATGATATTGGATGCGAATTACAATGTAAATGCAAATCATTCATTGGATTTTCTGGAGGACAAAGGTGTTTGTGATATTAAAATCGCGATATGCAAAGACGATGATATTATCTTCATCCAACACAAAGACCCTCATGTGTATGTTTGTGACAAGACGTGTCGATTGAAATACAAGTTTAAACGCGACTTGAGTGCGGAATTTTCATTGAGTATTTCCCAGCGGAATGAAATCATGATACCAACACACGATCATACAGCGGTTCATATATACACCAAGGAAGGAAATCTGAAGACAACAATAAAAGTCCCAGAAAATCATGAGGTACAGAGCGTCGTATTTCACTACAAAATTTGTAAAATATTGGTTTTAACCTGGATTAGGAAAAAGGATTCCTATTTCATTCTGCGCTACCGTGAAGCAGGCGGGGAGCTGGAGACTCTTACCTTCTGTTGTAAAGATGACGATGAGTGTCATCCATATCTGGTATCCCATCCCAAGGGCCCTGTTGTTCTCGTAAGAGAAAGGAGTATCACTTACCTTTAATGAGATTTAGTATGAACAAACACTTCCTGCATAAAACACAGTAAATACTTGTCTGAATTCTGAAATACAGTGCAACTTTGAGTTAACTAAAGCAAACAATAGATGCAGCATGGTTTATATAATTTGTGAGACTTTGCTGAATTACGTCCTATTAAAGTGTCCCTGTTTCTGTTGTAAAAGAGACAAGTGTAACTTATATTTAAAAAAATTAAATTATAATGTTTTTGACATTTGCCAACATGGACAATAGGCTTTTAGTGACATTTAAAAGCGTATGAATCCTATTTCCTATGATATAATATAGTGCAAACTTTCTTTGCTCTTAATTGTAATAAATGACCAGGTTCTTAACATAATAAACTTATAAAACCACCCCTGGCTAAGCTTAGAGCTATATGAATCATGCTATTAGTGGGTATATTGATGCATATGGCTTCTATTTGCAGGGTGATACATATGCTAAGTGTGCTACAAATTCTTTTGACACAGTTGAAACATTTGACTGCCTAGATCTAGTTATCCATCATGATAAGTCCACCACTTCCCCTTCTCAAGAGGTAATTGTCCTAGGGTTTGTCATTGACTTTATATCAATGACCATCCAAGTTACAAATGAGAAAAAAGGGAAAAAAATTGTTTGATTGAATGACCAGTGTTTCAAGTTTATTCTCTTTGTATCATATACGTATAATTATTCCCTAAACTCAGTCCACGAAATTACAACCTTTTCACTTCAAGTCTCTGTCCTACACGCCCCCTTATCAATCACAACCCTCCAAACAACTTATTAAATATTAACCCCATTCTTAATAATATCAACCTTATTACATAATGTAACATCCAGCAGACATTCCTATCCAGCAGGTAGCCAAGATTATTGGTTAGCTAGTCTCCTCCTTACCTGGGGTTCAGTATGCGGCTCTTCATTATAGGTACCTTGAAATGGATAAAAAAGATGCTCCTAAAAGACCTAAGGGTAATTTTGATTCCTCTATGACTGTCTCTGAGGATCACTTGATAGAGTTACCATGAAGAGAGTTTTAGATATCATTTATAATTCCTCCTATTGATACAACTATATACTCTGATGCACCCCTAGAAAGATGGGGAGCTGTACTAGGTGATCATT